AAAATGCCAAGAGCAAAAGACAAAGAGAGACTCTTAAAAGCAGCAAGAAAAAGACAGTCAGTTACCTAAAAGGGAGTACCCATACTCAACAGAAACCATGCAGGCCAGAAGAGAGTGCAAAGAAATATTCAAAGTGATGAATAGCAAGAACCTGTACAACCAAGATTACTTTATCCAGCAAAGCTATCATTCAGAATTGAAGGTCAGATAAAGAGCTTCACAGATAAGAAAAAGCTAAAGGAGTTCATCACCACCAAACCAGCATTATATGAAATGCTGAAAGGTATTCTTTAAGAAGAGGAATAAGAAAAAGGAACTCTTACCATTTGCCACAGCATGGATGGAACTGGAAAGCGGATAAGTACCACATGATCTCACTCATTTGTGGAATATAATGAACAACATAAACTGATGAACAAGGACTGATCCAGAGACGGAGAGGCATTGATTAGACTGTCGGTCCTTGGAGGGAAGGTAGGGGAGGGTGGGAGTAAGGGGGAAAGATCAACCAAAGGACCTATATGCAAGCATATAGGCCTAACCAATGGACACGGACAACAGGGGGGTGAGGGCATGAGCGGGGGGGTGGGGGTAACGTGGGGGTAAGGACACATATGTAATATCTTAATCAATAAAAAATATATTTTAAAAAAATGAGACTCTCTGACAAGAAACTTTGAATGAATAGCAAATAAAAGCAGCTATATAGTCATCAGAAATCATGACAGCTTGGAATGTGAAAGGATATTATTATTGAGAGCATTATAAGAGCAATTCACTTATTGTTGCTGCAAAACTGAGTATAGTTCCCAGGAAGGAGCCTGGTATAGACACTCTCATTGCTCTGGGTACTGCTGCCACTATAATGGCTCAATACAAAACAAAACCTTAACACTATTTTCCCTTTTTGTCTTTTTTTGTAAAAGTCAAAATCCTCAACCTAACCGGTTTGGCTCAATGGATAGAGCGTCGGCCTGCGGACTCAAAGGTCCCAGGCTCGATTCCCGTCAGGGGCATATATGTACCTTGGTTGCGGGCACATACCCAGTGGGGAGTGTGCAAGAGGCAGCTGATTGATGTTTCTCTCTCATGGATGTTTCTAACTCTCTATCCCTCTCCCTTCCTCTCTGCAAAAAATCAATAAAATATATTTTTAAAAAAGTCAAAATCCTCTTCAGATTCATCAGGTTAGTGAAAACACATACTGAGGTAGGTCTTTAGTAAAGGTGAAGTGGTAGAATGCAAACTTTCAAAAAGCAGGGGATACCTATATGTACAAGGTATCCCCAAAAATATATAGACACTTTGAATAATTAATTCGAATGGGTTAAATCTGAAAAGAAAGAAACATCAATTGAGCTATCAACTGTTAAAGTATATAGGCATTTTGGGGGGGACACCCTATCTTACATCACACATAAAAATTAGCTCAAAATGTCTTAAAGACTTAAATGTAAGACCTGAAACAGTAAAATTCCCAGAAGAAAATAGGGGAAAAACTCTTTGACATTGGTCTTGCCCATGATTTTTTTTCTGGATATGACACTAAAAACACAAGTAACAAAAGCAAAAATAAACAACTAAAACTTTATCAAAACAAAAAGTTATTGCAAGCAAAAGTAAAATAAAATGAAAAGGCAACCTATGAAATGGGATAAAATATTAGTAAACCATACATCTGATAAGGGGTTGATATCTAAAATACATAGGGACCTCATACAACTCTATAGCAAAAGAAAATAAAAAAGAAATAACTTTAACAATTGCAAAGGATGGGTGTCAGGAAGCCCCAATTCTGGTTTCAACACCACCACTTAATAAGTCTGTAACTTTGGGCAAATTATCTTTCTTCACTTGGCAATTCAAATTAGGAATAATAATATCCTCACTGAGATTTAATAATAACCAAATAAAACATACATGAAAGCATTGTTAAAGTTTAAAAAAATGAGAAAAGGGTCTAATAGACATTTTTCCTAAGAATTTATGCAACTGGCCAACAGGTATATGAAAAGATGCTAAACATCCCTTATCATCAGAGAATTGCAAATCAAAACCACAATGAGATATCAACCTCCACCTGTCAGGTGGCTATAATAAAAAAAGATATAAGATAGCAAGTGTTGGTGGGATGTGGAGAAGAGAGAACCTTGTAGGCTATTAGTAGAAATGTAAGTTGGAAAACAGTATGGAGGTTTCTCAAAATATTATAGAACTACCATTTCCCTTTAGTCTCCATGTTTTCTAATGAGAATTCGGCTATGTTTCAAATCATTGTTGCCTTATAGTAAAAAATCTGGCTACTTTCAGTTTCATATTATGTCTTTAGTATTCAGTAGTTGGACATGCATTTTTGGGGGGTTACCCTGTTTAGAGTGGGCTCAGCTTCTTGAATCTGTAGATTTATGTATTTCAGAAGTTTTCAGTCATGATATATTATTGAGAAAGCCCATTTACAATAGCACCAAAGAAGATTACACTTAAGAATAAATCTAACAGGAAATACATGAAGCCTATAGAAGAAAAATGTTAAAACACTCATGAAAGACACAAAAGTAGTCTTGAAAAAAAAATGTTAAGACAGTCCCTATTCCTAAATTGATTCAACACTTGAAAGATGTAGTTCTCTCTAAATTTATGAATTCATGCAATCTCAATAAAAATACCAACAAGCTATTTTATGGAGCTACAAAATTTAATACTAACATTCACTTGGAAAAATAAACATACAAGAAATGCCAGGAGCATATTGAGAAAGAAAAATTACAAGGTAAAACTAGCTGTAACAATCTTTAAAATATACTATAAAATCTGTATAATTAAAAATGTCATATTAGCATATGCATAGACAATTTAACCAATGTCATAGAATACAAAATTAGAAATGTACCCTAAAGTATATACTAATTTAGGGTATGATAAAGGAAATACCTCAAATGGATCAAAAAGATTAGATCCACAGTTTACACAATAACAAAAATAATTTACAGATGAATTAGTGATCTAATTATTAAAAAGGAAAGAAGGCAAGATTGGATGATAACCTCTTTAAACTTGGTATAAGGAAAAGCCTTTCTATGATTCTAAATCCAAAGGCAATAAATAATTAATGAATTTGAATCTGTTAAAATAACAAACAAGTAGAAAGAAAACTGACCCACTGCAAGGATATATTATTAACATATACCACAAACAAAGAACTAATATATCTAATATATATTGACCATAGGACCAAAAAAACGGATAGAAAAATGGGGAAAGAACATGACAGTGTTTTTCATTGGTACAACTTGAGCAGTAAAAATAACTAATATTACTGCATAATACCCTAAAAATAAAATTTAAATACACACACACACACACACACACATACACATTAAAATTAAATAAATATGTGGTGGCAAAGAATGGCTATTCCTTTAAGAATAATTGAAATTAAAAAACAGAAAAGGAAAGAAGGAAATAGAAAACCATTATTAGGTAAATATCTATATACACTGAGTGGCCAGATTATTATGACTGGCCAGATTATTATGACCACCCCATCAGTACTTCATTGGGCCACCTTTTGCCTTCAATACTGTGGCGATTCTTCTTGGCATTGACTCCACAAGATGTTGAAAGGTGATGTGAGGAATCTGACACCATGCCTGATGAATAGCACTGTCCAGTTCTGTGAGATTTGATGGTTGTGGAACCAGCTGCCTGATGGCTCTTTTAATTTCATCCCACAAAATGCAATTGGATTGAGATCTGGTGATTGTGGGGGCCATCTAAGAAAGGTAAAGTCTCTCTCATGTTCTTGAAACCACTCCTGCACAATATGAGCACCGTGGCATGGCACATTGTCTTATTGAAAGAAGACATCTCCATTGGGATACGCCATCAACATGATAGGATGAACTTGATCAGCAACGATACTTAGGTATGTTGTGCTATTCAGATGTTTATAATGATCTGGCCCTCTAGCAACTTCAGCGTGAAATTATAGCTAATTTGCCTACAAATGTCAGGTGGTCATAATAATCTGGCCACTCAGTGTATATAAAAAGCTAATATGCAAAGTGTCCCCTCGGGAATTCGACAGGGCAACTGGGAGTTGGATCACTCTCTATGACGTGTGGTGACCACCACGTGGAAAGAAGGAAGGCCCAAGCCGGCAGCCAGCAGCTGGGGAAGGGAAGGCCCTGCCAGCAGCTGGAAGGCCCCGATAGGCCCTGATTGCCGGCCAGGCCTAGGGACCCTACCTGTGCATGAATTTCATGGACCAGGCCTCTAGTACAGTAATAATTATCTTAAAATACATTGATGATTGCTAAAATTTATGGACAATCATAAACCTGTTGATATGATACCCTAACTTCTATTAATAAGTTACTTTTTTTTTTTTTCATTTTGTTGTTAATAAGTATCTTAGGGAAAATATTTTGTGACCATGCAAAATATTCTTTTTATCCTGAATTGGCTCCTGGAAGAGAATAAGGACATTAATGGGAAAAAAGATGAAATTCAAATAAGGTTGATAATTGTATTAACAGTATTATACCCATATTACTTCCTGGTTTTGATAATTGTACTACAGTCATGTCAAATGTTAACAGATGGAGTTGGAGACTATTTAGGAATTTACTGTACTATTTAGGAATTTTCTGTGCAATATTTTGATGTCTAATATTCAAAATAAAAAAGTTTTAAAAAGAGTTGTGGAAAAACTATGCATGTATAGTGATACAATACAGATAAAAGCTATTACCAGGGGTCAGAGGGTAAGTGAAAAAACTAATCTATGCAGGCGACCCATGGGAACTTTTATGGATGATGAAAATGTCTATATATCATGATTGTGTTGGTAGTCATATGACAATAAGTCATCAAAACTGGTGAAATTTTGCTATATGTAATCTGTAACTCAATAAGACTGACAAAAAAATTCTCAATGCAATCCCCACATAAGCAGAATGCAGAGGAGTGATACCAAATGAGATTATATATGTTCTTACCAGATTAATTAACTGAGTGTGTACCACATCTTCTACCAAAACTGCTGTTTCATAAAGAGGCTTCCTAGAATCACCTAAAGAAAACCTGCAAAAAAATAAAAAATTAATCACAACAATATCAAGAATTGCAAAGCTAAGAATGGAAAAGGTGAAAGATATTTACTACAATAATTTGTTTAATAAAGTACAAATTGTTCTCTCAAATAACAGCGTACAGGTACAGTCTCCTATGGATAATGATTTGCATCTCTCTTACACAGGTGAAAAGCAAGTGTTATCTATGCTATTTCTTGATTTGTGTAGTAATTTTTAGGGACATTTACTTCTTCAAAATATAAAATAATAACAACCATTTAACACTGATAATCAGAAAACCATATTACCACATCCAAATTGCCAATACAGTTCTATAGTAGCCATACAGAAAATTATAATAGCATATAATATAATTAAAATAAAAGCTGCTAAGAAAAATTTATGGAAATGCTATAAATCATCATTTGAAAGTATATACAAGCAGATTATCAAGAATGGATTATAAAACTGTTCTTAAAAGTCTTATACTCAACTTTCAAATGGTGGACCAGATGTACAGAGAGTCACTTCCTGGTAGAGAACATTTAAAAATGCACAATACTATATTAAAAACTTATATTTCAGCAGTAGGGAAAACAAAGCAGAAGTCAGACATAATGATAAAATACAGTTCCACAGGTAAGAGAGCCTGCAGCAAAAATTTATTCCTAGGATCCTACAGCCTGGACTTCAACTAGCATGGTACTCAAGGTCTAGGAGAGAATGCCAGAACCAAAAGCAAGGTAGGTCAGTTTGCAGAACCTAATATGGAGAAAAGTGGAGAGAAAACTAACACCCAGATAGTGATAGCTTCGTGTGTGAACTAGGAAAATACCTATTCCTGTAAAAAATCAATAAAATATATTTTTTAAAAAATACAACTAAAAGACAAAAGGGACATCATCCAGAACCACAGGAAGGCTGGCTGAATGGAAATTCTACAAGTAGAAGGAAAGAGAAAAGCACACTGAGACTCAGAGGAGGTGCGGAAGTAAAGTGCAGAGGTATGGAAGCGCGCGTGGAAAGGGCTGGCAACTGAGGACGTGGTTGTGTTTTTCAATAGGGAGGAAGACACACGCTCCCGCTCTGAACTTCAGTTCCAGGCTAGTCTCTGGGGACCCAGACTCATACGGGGAGAAACTGGACTGTCTGGCAGCAGGCAGAACTCGAGGGCGGCTTTCTCTCAGAGGTGCTTGCAGCGATTTCCGCGGAACACTAAGACCCGGGACCTCTTAGGGCAGGACTGAAGATCAGCCATAGCTGTTTGCTCTGCCCTGTTGATTCCCTGAGACCCCGCCCCACCCAAGCTGTGTGCAGAGACTTTTGGATATGAATGACCTGGCCCTTTGCAATCTGAAAATTACCTAACAAACTGCAGCTGGATCAAAGAGTCCCAGAACATCCAAAAGAAGGCCCAAGGCTCCACAGCAGCTTGCATTCTTCACAGCTGGGCCGCATCTGGGCATCTCCAAATCCCAAACAAAGAAGAGGAATCTGAAGATCTCTCCGTAGTTCCTGCTCAGTAGCCTCAGGCAGAGGCTAAATTAGAACCTCCTTAGAGATCCAAGTGCCAGTGTACCCAGTGGTCAGAGTGGGACCATCCAGATTACAACTCCTCAGTTCCATAAGAGACACACTCAGGGGGCAGACTCGGTGGGCACTAAAGCCCCACTGAAGCAAGACTTGCCCCATAAGGGTGTCTCCAGCACAGAAGTTCTCCCACCATAGACACAGCTGATTCTCACAGCCAAATGGCCTGGAGGTCAATTCCTCCCAGTGATACCAACTACAATCAAGGCTTAACTACAAGAAGACTGTGCACACAGCCCACAAGGGGGTGCACCAAGAGTGTCCACCTCAGGTAATTGGGGAGGCTGAGCTACTGGACCCTATAGGACACCTAGCACAGAAAGCCACCCTATCAACACAGGGAAGCAGCCAAAATGCGGAGACAAAGAAACAGGTCACAAATGACAGAGATGGAGGAAAGTGAACTACTGGATATAGAGTTCAAAACCAAACTTAAAAGGTTTTTCAAAAATTTTCTAGAAACCACTGAAAAACTTAATGAGACCCTCAAGAAATCTAGTGAGACCCTCGAGGATATGAAAAAGGACCAAATAGAAATTAAGCATACACTGACTGAAATAAAGAATAGTATACAGAGATCCAACAGTAGACTAGAGGATGGCAAGAATCAAGTCAAAGATTTGAAATATGAAGAAGTAAAAAAACACCCAACCAGAAAAGCAAAAAGAAAAAAGAATCCAAAAATATGAAGATAGTGTAAGGAGCCTCTGGGACAACTTCAAGCAAACCAACATCCGAATTATGGGGGTGCCAGAAGAAGAGAGAGAGCAAGATATTGAAAACCTATTTGAAGAAATAATGACAGAAAACTCCCCCTACCTGGTGAAAGAAATAGACTTACAGGTTCAGGAAGCACAGAGAACCCCAAACAAAAGGAATCCAAAGAGGACCACACCAAGATACATCATAATTAAAATGCCAAGAGCAAAAGACAAAGAGAGACTCTTAAAAGCAGCAAGAGAAAAACAGTCAGTTATCTATAAGGGAGTACCCATACGACTGTCAGCTGATTTCTCAACAGAAACTATGCAGGCCAGAAGGAAGTGGCAAGAAATATTCAAAGTGATGAATAGCAAGACCCTACAACCAAGATTACTTTACCCAGCAAAGCTATCATTCAGAATAGAAGGTCAGATAAAGAGCTTCACAGATAAGAAAAAGCTAAAGGAGTTCATCACCACCAAACCAGTATTATATGAAATGCTGAAAATTATCCTTTAAGAAGAGGAAGAAGAAGAAAAAGGTAAAGATACAAATTATGAACAACAAATACACATCTATCAACAAGTGAATCTAAAAATCAAGTGAATAAAAAATCTGATGAACAGAATAAACTGGTGAATATAATAGAATCAGGGGCATAGAAAGGGAGTGGACTGACAATTCTCGGGGGGAAAGGGGTGTGGGGAGTGCAGGAAGAGAATGGACAAAAATCGTACACCTATGGATGAGGACAGTGGGGGGGTGGGGGTAAGGGCAGAGGGTGGGGTGGGAACTGGGTGGAGGGGAGCTATGGGGGGGAAAAAGAGGAACAACTGTAATAATCTGAACAATAAAAATTTAATTTAAAAAAATAATAATAAATAAATGATGTTACTACATAATATTCTAAAAATAAAACTTAAATATAAATTAGTCCATACATACACACACACATAAAATACTATTCAGCCATAAAAAAGAATGAAATTTTTCCATTTGCAACAAAATGTTTAGACCTTGAAGGTATTACTCTAAGTGACACCAGAAAGAGAAAGACAAATACTATACCATCTCACTTATATTTGGAATCTGAAATACAAACAAAAAAACATAGTTGACAGATACAGAGAACAGATTGGTTGTTGGGGGTGTGTGTGTACAAAATGTGTCTAGGGACTCCACAGGTACAAACTTCCAGCTATAAAATAAATAAGCCCTGGATGTAATGTACAACATGATGATTATTATTAACTAGAGGCCTGGTGCAAGAAATTTTTGCATGGGTAGGGTCCCTAGGCCTGGCTGGTGATCAGGGTCAATCTGCAGAGCAACTGGTGGGGGCGATCAGGGGGCCCCCTTCTGCGGGGCAACCAGCAGGGAGATTGGGAGGGCCCCGCTGGCACCCGCCTTGGCTGGCCTAGGGCCTGTGGGCTGGGGGCAGCTCCTGTGTTGAGCGTCTGCTCCCTGGTCAGTGCACGTCATAGTCACTGATTGTTCTGATGGTTGTTCCATCATTCGGTCAATTTGCATATTAGGTTTTTATTATGTAGAATAATACGGTATTGCTTATTTGAATTTTGCTAAGAGAGTAGATCTTAAAAGTCTTCATCACAAAAAATATATATATTTTTTGTAACTATGTATGGTGACAGATAACTAGACTTGATGTGGTAATCATTTTTCAGTATACACAAATACTGAATCATTATTTTGTACACCTGAAACTAATAATACATCAATTTTACTTCAATTTAAACAAAAAACGTGCCTTTTCAGATAATCTCGAAATCCTAAATATTTCTGTCTTCAAGAATTATTTTAAAGTTGTATTTTACAAAAATCACTTTTATAAGAAATTTCTTGTGAGAAATTAAACTGTACTAAATTGAATAATTGGATACCAATTATGAAATTAAGAAGAAATGAATGTTTTTATATGTATAACATTGAAAAAAATGAATAAAAATAAATGCAGGAAGGGTAATAAGGACACAAACTTTTTGTTTCTATATGTGAAAATATTCCATTTCTCTTGAAGAATTTTTTTTTAAATGTTTGCACTTCTGGATATTTTTCACAGGATTTTATATTATTCTTTTCCAGTGTATTTAATAGGGTCCACTTTTGGGTTTAAAATAGTCATTTTTAAATTTTCAAGCCCTGTTTAAGATCAGAGTGAAGGACTGATTACGTTTAAATGAAAGGGACCCTATAATAAAGGAGATCCTTTCACAATGTATACATATACCAAGTCCTCACATTGTACAATTTAAATAGCTTACAATTTTATTAGTCAATTATACCTCAATAAAGCGGATTGAGTTATAGAGGAAAATAGATTCTGAAAAAGAAGCCAAGAAGGTAATTTTGATAAAAATCTGTGACAAAGAACCTGCTAGGGCCGTCAGAGAGAACACAAGGCCACAAGCAGACCTGCTCATAAAGCATCCATGAACCCACCAAAAAGAAAGGACAGAGAGACATTTCTTTACGACCATGTATGTGTCTTCTTGGATGCTGAGCTGCTTTCAGTACTTACTACTGGCTACAAACTCTAATGTGGTTAACTTATTCTGGATGCTGTGGTTAAGTAATTGCTGTGGTCTTGGGAGTTACTTTTTTTTATTACTTCTGGTTTTTGGACATTTTTCTACCTCAGGTAACTGACATTACTTTGGAATGGACACCAAGTGACTACTGCTTGTTGTAAGAAGGTCC